TCTACTACATAGAGACGCGACAGCAGATTTACAGTTACAAAACTTTAACTTACCAGTTTGTCAAAGTACAAACAAAAAAAATGATTGACTTGAGCCAAAGACCTTTACACTGCACACATGAGGAACACAGGCCTGTCTACAACCTGGCAATGTATAACAGAGTTAGAAAAATCCCACAAAACAGGCAAGCCAATGCACCAAAAACTTTTGAGCATTTTCCCTTGCAGTCAATGCTGGCATATGTTCCCCATTACCTACATTGAACTCAGTGGCTGGGTTAAAATTAAACGCAAAAATGTAATATATTGCAGCATACCAATCCTAAGATGTGGTGGCTGCATTTGTTTTCTGTTTTAGCATTTTCCCTTTTTCACCTGCTGATCCGGCCAGTAAGTCAGTTGATTTTCAACTCCCTTTAACAGAGGAAGCAGCAAAAGTGACAGATAAAAAGGTAGGGCTGCAGCTAACGATTATTTTCATAACCAATTAATTGCCTGATTATTTTTTTCAATTGATTGGTTGCATTAATAATAATACAAAATCCCCCCCCACCTAATTGATAATGAGAATAGTGGGCAACTATTCTCATAATCGATTCAACCGATTAGTTGTTGCAGCCCTAGGCAAAGGGTTGAGAAAACCATTCAACACTGGCAGGGGTGATTACAATGGTTAACAGTTATTCATTTATTTAAAACCTTTATCCCAAAAGGGAAATAAAAAAAAAAAAATGTTGCTGTAACTGCGCAAAAACAATTAGCTGGAGTTCGGCTTTAATTTCCAAGTCAAATATATCTAAATCTGCTAATAAATCTAACACTTCCCTCCACAGGGTGACAATGCTGCTGTCCAAGTGGGATCCGGTGGACCTCATTCACACAGGAGTGGCGAGGGTGGAATAGGCGGTTGAGCTGCCTTTTTTACTGCTCCCCGGCGATACATTGACAGGTTAGCACTGCAGGCGGTCAGTGCTGTACACATTGCCAGCGCAGCAAAAATCAGACAGCACGTCACTTTCAGCAGGCGTTGATGTGAATGGGACAACCGTTGATGTGAATGGGGCCACTCCGCAAACCATGCACTAAACGTGGTAATTCCATGTAAAGTCCACCTTGGAATAATAAAAACCCAAAAGCAGTATTGCCTGCTGAATGCCTAGACGAGCAGTGGAGAATGCCACCTGTGTGAACGAGGCCTTGCTCCACCATAGAGCTTAGCCACCATAAAGGTGGCCATACACTGTACAACCATCGCAAGACCTTAGTCTTGCGATGGTTGTAAAGGGATTAAAAAAACGTACGATCTGCCTATCTTGGCCAGGCAGATCGCACTCTCGATCATCGCAAGCCCGCCCCCCTGAGGGGTGGGCTTCCGATGACCGCAATGCTGAACGGGCAGTGTGCGCGTGCGCACACCGGCCCGTTCAGCATTTATCTTCCGAGCACCGTTCTAACCAGCCAAGAATCGTACGATTCCCGGCAGGTTTTCGAACATGCTGGTTCGACAGAAGACGTGCGACCGTACAGTAGAAACGGTCGCACGTCTCCGTTCACACTGCTCGATTATCGTACGAAAAACCGATCGCATACGATTATCGTACGATAATCGTGCAGTGTATGGGCACCTTAAGACAGGAAGTGTGTCACTGGTCAGATCACCAGCTGAAAATAAATAATAAAGGCTTAAATTAAGAAAACTAAAGCTTGGTATACACGGTTAGAACTTCAAACTAATTAAAATCGATTTTGAAATGTTCGTAACGCTTTCTTATCACGGATGGTGTCCATTTAAAAAAATGTCTAAACAGTAAATTTGGTTTTATAGCTCGGAAACTAGAATGTTAGATAAAACCAAAAATCAAATGACATTTGGAGGACAAATCGGCAAGCCTCTGATGGCATTATCGAATGTTCCGATGGCATTTTTCATAAGATTGTTCATTTGAAAATCTACCCGTGTATACCAGGAAGTGTGTTACTGGCCACATCACCAGATGAAAAGAATAAAAAGGCTTAAACTAACAAAACTAAGAATTGGTAAGCTGAAATATATTACATTTTTGTTTTTTTGGGTTCAGATACACTTTACTTTGTCACACAATCATACCCAGAGCTAAGAAAAATGAGAAGGCCCTAGAGACATTCTTCAGCCTACAAGAAGTTTTAGTAATAAACATGTGAGCCAATGTGTGCTTCAATTATATACAAGAAAATATTTAATAGATGATTAATAAAAACCACATTGCCAGTCCACATTCATATACTTAAAGTAACAACACACACAGGCTGGTCTTAGCAGAAACTCACACTGAGCCTACTTTATACTGTTTTGAAAGGTCACAAAATTCAGCTGTTTCACTTTCATTTCATAGAATTTCAATATATACGCAGTATTGTAAGTCAAAGTAAATGAAACCAACATGAAAATTGAACAAGATGCACATGAATGGACATCTATGTGGCCACCTGCACATCAACCCATACTAGGGATGCAACAATACCGGTTTTTCAGTATCGAGAACAATTACCGATATTTTTTTCCCGGTACTTGCCGATAACGGAAGTCTCGTTAAGGAAGCCGGGCAGCGTGTAATAACTTGCCGCCCGGCTTCACAATTAGCAGGGAAGCTGTCTCCATGTTCTTTTGTCACCAGGTGATGGGGGAGCATGGAGCTGGCTTCGCAGCCAATCAGACAGCTGGACAGCATGTAAATGACTTGCCGCCCCTGCCTCCTGATACCGGAAGCTCAGGTATCGGGCGCATTTGGGAGAGTACGAGTACTCGCCCAAATACTCGGTATCGGCAGCAGTGCATCCCTAACCCATACGCACTGGAACACATTAACTGTTGTGTTGATTATTGTCGTGCCTTGTTTCTGTGTAACAATGGTGTCATTGTTTGCGGCTGTCCGTTTTTTTTACTACGGGCGGACGGCAAGAGGTTAAAAATAAAAATTTTTATGTAAAACACATCATCCTCAATGTTTCCTTTATATAACCTGAGCCAACAGAAAGCCCACAATTGCAGAGTCACACCACAGTCACAGTGTTACATAATGTCAGTGACTAGTATACAGTTAAAGGTGACCTGCAGAAAACCACTAATAAATGTTGATTATACCACTTAGCCTCTAAGGTTGGCCATACACTGATATAATTTTTTCCTTTAACCCGGGCGCTGAACAGAAAAAATAGACGCGATCGCTCCATCAACACTAAGCGCATCGATCTAGGAATCCTGTTTACATACAGCGGCTGCCGAAACCTGTCAGAACACCCGACTGATCGATCAAAGACTTTCCAACTGGCTCCTTCGATCATTTGTTCGAGGGATGCCGGGCGAAAGGGTGCCAACAGCGGCACACTGCGAATTTCGTCCGGTTCCTCAAAAACCAGCTGAAATTCGCAGTGTATGGGCACCTTAATGGTTTTCAGGCACCAACCTGTTTATTCTGGCCATACTAGCATATGTTTACAGTTGAGACAAATCTCATCAGACAACCCTGTCATTATCCCTGAGAGACCATTATAGTCTGCTTTACTGTTACAAAACAGGTCGATCTACTGGCAAGACGTGCTTTCAGCAGTGTCATGATGTTGCAAGAGCTGTCATCATGTTGCAACTCTGTCCAGGTAGAAGTTTCACAATGTTACATCGCTGTTACTTGTGTTCAGTGCAGACAGATGGGTCAGTTGGGTATTCCAACTGACAAAGATCGACCAGGGCATGCTGGTAATTGTGGTCAGCTGACAGGCAAACCATTCCTTCTTGCGCCTGGATTCTATATGACTTTGACCACGGAACATATCAAACATATGTAATGTCTACATACTCAGAAAACTGAAAGTACTCAGTGGGAATGAGCTGGAGCTTTCACTCCACATACTTATATATTCCACTAGTGGGGGGAGAATTTAATAATCTATGGCAAAATGTACTAGCCACAAAAAGAAACAACAGAAACCCCAAATTGGGTTTTGTTACCAATTGCATAAAAAGTTACAGGATAATTAGGGTAGAAATAATTCCTACACTGGGTGACAGCTTGTTAAAAGCACTGCGCATCCGAAACA